TCTTTCTCTCTCTCTTTATCTTTCTCTGTGTGTTCCCCGCGGAGCGAACCAAGGAGTCGAGGATTCTCGGACACCCTGTATTTAGCATATTTCGATTTGCCCGAGATACACCGGAGGAGAGCCAGCCCGTCCACCTCGTCGACGTCCGGTGCCACGTGTGGCATGCTGCCTTTCAGACACGAAGGAGCGGGATCGAGCCACATTCCGGGGCTGGAGCCGGCCAAGGATGAAAGAAGAAGAAGAAGGAGACCGGGGGGATGTAATGCGCCTCTCTCGCCGTGGTGAAGAGAAGGGCCCGGCCCGGGCTTGGGGGCCCCCGGTTCGCCCCGAGACGTCGCTCCGCGCGGCCGCTTTCCTTTCTGCCTGCGCGCCTTCTCGTTCGCAGACGCGAACGAGGAAGGAGGGACGGAAGACAGAGGCAAACTGGGGGAGAGAGACAGAGAGAGAAAGATAGAGCGGGCCCAAGAGTAGAAGGAAGAACAAGCAAGGAGAGAGGGCGAGAGGGAGGCAGAGAGAAGACGTAGGAACGAAAAAGAAGAAGAGGAGAGAAGGACGAGGGGGAAAAGAACGATGAAGGAGAGGAAGAAGGTTACGCCCGGACGGGAGAGAAGAAGGTTGGGGGTGGCGACCTAAGAAGGTCAGAACATCGTATTTCTTGCGGGGGCCGCGGACGGAGGAGTCAGCGTCATTAAAAAGAAAAGTTCGAGGGGGCATTGTGAGCACCGGCGAAACTCCACGAAAAATGTGCCTCGAATTACCTTCCCCTCTTCTCATCCCCTCCTCACCCCAGGGTCCCTATCGCCCTTAGGGGCCCACGGGTTCTCGATGATACCGGCGAACGCGCGCGTTTTGGACCGTCTGCCCGGGATGAAAATAAAACCCGCCCTGCACCCCCCTCCTTTTCTCCCTCTTTGGATGAAAGTGTACCCTGGAACGACGATGGTTCCGTCTTTCCTTCTTGCTCCAACGTTGTGGAATGATTACGAGCGCGGCGGGCACCTTCCACCCCGGGTGTCCTTGCTCGAAGGTAGCCCGGCTTATTGTTTCACCTGTTCGTATAACGCCGCGCGCGCGCCCCCCCCCTACCACCCCTGTGGTCATTCCTTCTCGCTTACCCCCGGGTAACATGCGCGAATCGAAGCATCGTCTCGGATAGATCCTCACGGCTGATCGAGAGAGTCGTAAGTCAGCCGGGAGAGTTCTCTTCTTTCGCCTCCGATCTTGCTCTCTCTTTCTCGCCCCCTCCCCCTCCTGCCGTAGCCGAGGGCACCTGTGTTACCCGAGGTATAACCCGACCATTACCGGGGAATGTTGCCCGAGGGCTAACCCTGGCCCTCGTGTAACCAACCATCGGGGGCCCATGGCATCCGCGCGGCCGTCTTATCCCACTAGAGATTCCCGCCAGTCACGGACCAAGCAAGGTCTTACACAGCCAGTCTTAACGTATCTCGCTTCCTCTCTCTCGCTCATTTGCTCATTCTTCCCTTTTCCCCACACTGTGTCTCACTCTGTCCTGGCCTCTATATCCCCTTTGCGCTCTTTCTCCCTGTCTCTAGTTTTCAGCCGCCTTTCTCCCTTCGGCGTTCACCACACTTCTCTCTCTCTCTCTTTTTGTTGACCGCCACGCCCAACGGAGAAAGACAGAGAAAGAGTCTAGGCCACGTTCTTGGCGTTTTTTACGAGCTTCGGGGTATCAGGAGGTGGTGATCCTGAAAAGGGAGCGCGCAACGGAGAAAGTCGTGACTCATGGGAGACTCCCTGGATTGGGAGATTTTTGATGGATCTGAACGAGATCGCTATGGGATCGTGTAGGATGGAGCGCGTTTATTGAACATAATTGAGACGGATCAGCGATTGGTGAGACAATCAGAATTTACCCGCGGAGATTTTAATGGTGAAGGAAATCGGAAAATAATGAGTACAGACAGAAGCTACGTTACCGACCATAGGTAGGAAGAATGTTCCACGGTTGATAACGATGAAGTAGATTATTCCATAGCGGGTTCGATGATGGTACAGGTAACCTCCGTACAATACGGTGGTTAGGTTCCTGAAAATTGTCCTGTTACTGGAATTCGTGCTGTACGAAGCTAGGAACAAATTATAATCCAAAAACTAACAGAACTACACTATTCTAGGCGATTCTTAGATCGTGTTGAAGGGAATACCGTAATACCGGGTAGGTTACCGAATTTAGACCATCGCCTAGGTTGAGCTACTTTAACTTTTTATTTTTAAGCAATTTGCGTTTTATCACTGTAGTGATCCAACCTAGGTGATGGTCCAAATTCGACAACCTTTCTCTAAATAAAACTAGTATATATTCTCGATTTCCACGAAAATCAATGCCTGATTTCGTCAGCCAAAAATGGAATCAGTATAATCGTTTATGGCCAATACTTTTGATGACTCTTTTGATTTCTTTTACCGGTCACTAACTCAGTATATAAACAACACATATTATCTATCATACAGCGCAAATTGCTTACATACAACAAGTTACAGTAGTGGTTCAACCTAGACGATGATCTAAATTCGGCAACCTTCCCCTACATGAAAATGAGGCGAACAAGGGAAGTTGTGGCCTTCTCGAGTGGTCTCTAGCGAGAAACGACCGGAATCCTGGTAACGAAAAAAACTGAGGGACCAAAGGGAACGGGGGAAAAGATTCTCGCTCTCGTGGCCAGGGATTCGCGCTTCAACAGGGAAGAAAAAACCACGATGGAACGATCCCCATAAACCCGTCGTTTCCCAGAAAGAAACAATGTTCCCTCTCTTTCTCCTCTCGTGGCGCAGCAATGCGCCGTAACGGTAATTA